GTGCAGTGGTGTGACTTCAATTCACGGCAGCTTTGACCTCCCAGGCTCAAACAGTCCTCCCACCTCAGCCTCCTGAGTAGCTGGGACTACAACTATGCATCACCATGCCTGGCGAATATTTTGTATTTTTTGTAGAGATGGGGTTTCACCATGCTGCCCAGGCTGGTCTTGAACTTCTGGGCTCAAACAGTCTGCCAGCCTTGATCTCTCAAAGTGTTGGGATTACAGGTGTGAGCCACGGAGCCCAGCAAAAAAAAAAAAAAAAAATTGTGTGTGTGTGTGTGTGTGTGTGTGTGTGTATAAATAATGGTGCACTGAGATCTAGGACACACCTATACATACAGAACTGAAAAGTAAGTTTTACAAAATAATACTTTGTTTGACTACATAAACTGCACTCTAACATAGCCTTACTCTAGTCTACCCTTTTTTTTATTGAGACTTGCTCTGTCACCCAGACTGGAGTGCAATGGCACAATCTCAGCTCACTGCAACCTCTGCCTCCCAGGTTCAAGTGATTCTCCAGCCTCAGCCTCCCAAGTAGTTGGGCTGCAGGCATGTGCCACCATGTCCAGCTAATTTTTGTATTTTTAGTAGAGACAGGGTTTTATCATGTTGGCCAGGCTGGTCTTGAACTCCTGACCTCAGGTAATCCGCCTGCCTCAGCCTCCCAAAGTGCTGGGATTACAGGCATGAGCCACCACACCTGGCCTAGTCCACTCTTTTCTATTTCATTTTTTAAAATCCATTTCACAACTTGCAATAAGTTGTAACTGAGAATCAAAAAACACTTCTCTGTGTGTGTACAAAGTTTCCTTCCAGCTCTAGCATTTTATGATGACACATGAATAAATTTGAAATAGGGTGTGATTTCCTTAAGGATGGAGTTCATCCTAGCCTGTGAAGGCTGCAGTGAGCTGAGATTGCACCACTGCACTCCAGCCTGGGTGACAGAATAGGAGGTTTGTCTCGAAAATAAATAATAGGACCTTCACATAGGCTTATTGAGGGAGTTGAATCAGTGAATACATGTAAAGTAATTAAATAATCCTAGAACAAGTAAACTCTAATGTCTATTAACTGTCATAGATTGTTATTCAGCAAATATTACACTTCCCCTACCTTCTCCACCTTCATCGATATTGGGCTTAATTATGTGACTTGATTTTAACAATGGAATGCAGCAGAAGTGACAGCATGCCAGTTCCAAGCCAAGGCTTTTAACCGTGTTTCTGCTTGCCACTTTGAGCACTTTTAGCTTATGCCATGGGAAGACGTTGGCCTAGGTTGCTCACTGATCCAAGAAGAGGGATACTAGAACTAAATAGACCCCATGACCTAGAGTCAAGCACAACAAACTCAATCTAGTTCAGCCACATCCCAACCCAACCTTGCAGATGCATAAGAAATAAATGCTTGTTTATTGCACAATTCTAGGTTTTTGGAGTTGTTTGTTATGCAGCATTCCTGTGGCAATAGCTAGCTGATACAACTCTTACAGTTGTTGTTGTTGCTATTAACTTAGTTAGCAGGCCGGGCGCGGTGGCTCAAGCCTGTAATCCCAGCACTTTGGGAGGCCCAGGCGGGTGGATCACAAGGTCAAGAGATCGAGACCATCCTGGTCAACATGGTGAAACCCCGTCTCTACTAAAAATACAAAAAATTAGCTGGGCATGGTGGTGCGTGCCTGTAATCCCAGCTACTCAGGAGGCTGAGGCAGGAGAATTGCCTGAACCCGGGAGGCGGAGGTTGCGGTGAGCCGAGATCGCGCCATTGCACTCCAGCCTGGGTAACAAGAGTGAAACTCCGTCTCAAAAAAAAAAAAAGAAAACTTAGTTAGCATTTTTCAAACACCTACTGTGGGCCAGGCACTGTGACACTAGAAAGAACACCTGGAGCCTTGGAGGATGCACAGATGAATACAGGTTCTCCTTAAGGAGTGAACACTTTATCAGGATGGGGTGACACTAGACAAGTGATTACCAACGGCTGCAAACTTTGTCCTACAAAGGATCCCAGAGAAGGAAGCTACACTGATCTGCCTTTTTTTTTTTTTTTTTTTTTTTTTTTTAACTTCCAATGGTCTATAAAACTTGGTGGTCAAGAATCTGTTAGTGTTTGCCCTGATTCAACCCATCAGTAATGCAGGGTAAATAAGACGTCAGGCTCTGGGTAGAGAGAAGGGATTTGATCCTGGCTCTGTCAATTTAGTAAGTGAGTGACTTTGTGCATTAGTTTTAGTTTTAGCCTTAGTTTAGTTTTAGCCTTCGTTTTCCCATCTGTTAAAACAGGGAGGGTGGCAGTGCCTGCTTGAAAGGTTGTACAGATTAAATGAGATAATAAAAGTCAAGTGCTGGACAGAGACTCCAGGGCATAGGAAACACTCAAGACTTGCTTGCAATTATTAGTTCCACTTGCACTGGAGTTAGGGCAGTGTGTCTTAATCTTGTTTCATTATCAGCCCCCTAAGCAGGGGAGACATTTTTTCCTTACTGCTGTCCTCTAAGAAATTTTAATACCAAAGATATACATATACCTGTTTGTGTACTATATGTGTATCTGTGCTTTATAAACCAAGAGAGTGAGATTGTTTTTCTGGCCTTTGAAGAGCAAACTTTCCTGCCTTGGGATTTCTATTGCCCTTGGGGAGGAATGCATGGAATAAAGGCTTGGAATAGCCCTGAGCTGAACAAGTGATCTCTGTGCTCCCAAAGGAATATTACTTTGCTTTCTTCTTCTTTTTTTTTTTCTTCAAGACAGTCTTGCTCTGTCACCCAGGCTGGAGGACAGTGGCACGATCTTGGCTCACTGCAACCTCTGCTTCCTGAGTTCATGCAATTCTCCTGCCTCAGCCTTCCAAGTAGCTGGGATAACAGGCACCTGCCACCATGCCTGGCTAATTTTTGTATTTTTGGTAAAGATAGGGTTTCACTATATTGGCCAGGCTGGTCTCGAACTCCTGACCTCGTGATCTGCCTGCCTAGGCCTCCCAAAGCCCTGGGATTACAGGTGTAAGCCACCGTGCCCGGCCTTCCCTTCCCTTTCCTTCCCTCCTTTCTTTTTCTTTCTTTCCTTCCCTCCTTCCTTCCTTCCTTCCTTCCTTCCTTCCTTCC